CCGAATATGTTGGGAGTGCGTGATTGGCCGAATTAACCCCCGGGGCCCAAGGGTTCGCTTCGGTTTCCCTGCTGCCCCTTGGGAGCGTGGGCCCGTGTTGACGCGCGCGCTGGGCAACGCGCTCAAGACGGGTCCACGCTCGTTCCTTATCGATCAAAGATTTCCGCGCCCTTACCCCCCCCCCGTCCCCCGCCGAACCGACGCGCTCGGCGGCTTGTAATACCGCCAACGTGAGGCAGCTGGTTGCGCTTTTGGCTTCCTCGCGGCATACTATGCCCTTCCCTGGTCGGGGGTACCAACTTTTAACATCATCATCCTGGTAAGGATGGTGATGATGATGATGGTGAAATTGGCGATGATGACAATGGAGATGGCAATAGTGATGATGGTGATGATAATGGTGGTGCTGTTGATGATGGCGCTGATGCGAATGATGACGAAGAGGAGGAGGAGCAGGAGGAGAAGGAAGAACATTGATTTGCTAGGGCCGTCTAGGGGTAGCGTTGGCCTCCTGTAAGGCAGTCGTGGGAGTCCCTCGGGGCCAGCTTGGGCCATCTTGGGGCCCTCTCGCGCCGTCTTGAGGCTCTCTTGGGCCGACCTGGCGCGATTTGATTTGCCAGGGGGGCCTTGTGTGCGATTCGACCTTGGGTCGGTTTGATGCGCCGTTTCTGGCCAAGGCCAGCCGCAGCTGGGCGAGGCGATCCGACATTGATTTTATGAAGGGGGGAGGAGGAGGAGGAGGAGGAGGAGGAGGAAGATGATGATGATGAGGAGGAAGAGAAACATAAGGGAATTGATAATAATAGTAATACTAATACTAATGATAATAATAATGATAATAATAAATAAGAATAATCGTAATAAGATGAGGAGGAGGAGGAGGAGGAGAAGGACGACGATTTGCTGACGATTCGTTGCGGCGCGATCCGTCTTGGGGCACTTTTTGGCCGCAGGGTGGGGGGCCGTCGTGGGGCCGCCCTGGAGCCGTCGAGAGGCCGTCGAAAGGCCGTCTTGGACCCCACGGGAGGTCTTTTCTCGGCCGGCTTGGGGCCGATTTGGAGTCCTCTTATCTGGACGCCCGAGATGGGCACGGAAAGAATGGGTACGATGCCCAACAGCAGTTCTTGTTCATTCTGAACAGGATTCGCTGTCCACGCCGCCGCGGCCTGTGTCCATTCGAGACAGAAGGCCGCCTGCCCAACAGCGGTCGCTGTTGGTTTGGGACAACATCTGCATTTGTTGTTGGGTTTTGTACCCATTCTTTCGGTACCCATTTCGGGTGTCCAAATCTTAGGCCATCGTTGGACCTCTTGGGACATGTGGGGACCCTCTCCGAGGCCTCTTGGGCCGTGTGGTGCCCGTCGTGGCAGCTTCTCGGGCCGTCTTGAGCAGACGGAAGCCAGAAAAGGCGAGAATGCGACATCCACGTCACACCGAATGGACAATTCATTCATGCTGGTTTCTTCGTACCCTGCTGGAGGTCCTCTTGTGGCCTCTTTGCGACCTTTTGGGGGCACCTTGGGCCGTTGTGAGGCCATACTGGACCGCCTTGGGGCCATCTTGGACCATCTTCGAGGCATCTTGGGCTATCTTGGTGTCCCTGGTCGCTTGCATGGACCGTCTCGGAAGCTCTGGACGCGGATCCACCGTTTGTAACGAGGGCTCGTGGCTTCGGCACCGCGGATCCATGTGTGTACAGGGGATCGTGGGGCCCGGGAGAGGGAGCGACGCATGCGGATAATGCAAGTAAGCAGGGGGGGATCGCTTACAATGTTACCAACACCCTGCCAGGCAGCCTTTGACATTCTTCCACGTTTCAACGTGCGCAAGGCTAGTCGGCGGAGTTACACGCATCTCCAGCCAACTCGTCAACCTCCACTCCTCTAGGAGGAAGATTGATTAGAGGGGAGGAAGTCAGGGGGCCAAGAAGGGTGCCATGATTGCCCGGACCACGGCCCGAGCCCAGGATGGGGGCGACCTCGGGCAGAGAGCGCAGGACGAGCCTTTCAACCCCGAGGAGTTCTGGGCCGTCGTCGCCCTCGCCGCCGCTGTCGCCGCCGCCGTCGATTTCAAAGTCCTCGCGGTCGTCGCCGTCAACGTCGCCCTCGAGGAGTTCCAGGCGCTGGGAGCGACGGCGGCGAGGACGGCAACGACCGCGGCGACGACGACGCGGCACAGACGAACGATCTCCCTGGGATCGGCAACGAGAACGGCGAGAACGACGACGACCGCGACGACTCAGACGGGAAAGGGCGTCACAAACACAAGTGATCGCTGACTTCCATCAGAGCATGCGAGAGGATTGGAACTGCACGGGAATCCTTGCATCTGTGCCGATCTGCTCGTGTCTCCGTGGGCCCCTCTATCGCTGGCGACGGCGCGGAGGATTTCCGGCCGGAGTACTTCTCCGGGGACTGGCTGGACAACCTCGGGCACCAGATCTCGGTCATGCCCCTCGAGCAGCGGGGCGGTGGCCGGCGGGGCCGCCGGGACCGAGACGGCGGGCGCCGGGGAGCCTCTGGCCCCGCCAAGGGGGGGCGCGCCGTGCGCGGGTCGAGCCCCTTCCCCTGTCGGAGCAGGAAAAGGTTCTAGTCAGAGCGCGCCCCCGTAGAGTTCCAGAGAGCAGAGGTAAGGGTACTTTTTCCCAGCGGAGCCGGGTGAAATTCCGTGCCCGCCGGCTGACTGATGACTGACTGAACGCCAGGGGACAGCTCGGGAGACGCATTTCAAACCGCCCGCGGGAGCGCAACCCGGCGGCGGCAACCGCAACCCAACCGGGCGACACATCTCAAAGCGCCCGCGGGAGCGCGCAACCGCAACCGCAACCGCAACCGGGCGACACATTTCAAAGCGCCCGCGGGAGCGCGCAACCGCAACCGCAACCGGGCGACACATTTCAAAGCGCCCGCGGGAGCGCGCAACCGCAACCGCAACCGGGCGACACATTTCAAAGCGCCCGCGGGAGCGCGCAACCGCAACCGCAACCGGGCGACACATTTCATTTCAAAGCGCCCGCGGGAGCGCGCAACCGCAACCGCAACCGCAACCGGGCGACACATTTCAAAGCGCCCGCGGGCGCGACACCGCAACCGCAACCGGGCGACGCATTTCAAAGCGCCCGCGGGAGCGCGCAACCGCAACCGCAACCCGGCGACACATTTCAAAGCGCCCGCGGGAGCGCGCAACCGCACCCTGAGCATCCGGGGACCGCAGAAAACTAAGTTCTGGGACAATCTGCGAACCAGCCCATAGGTCCGCAGACCGTACCTTTACCCATAGAATGGCCCGTAGTTTGGCCCTCAGTTTGGCCCTCAGTTTGGCCCGTAGATCGGCCCGTAGATCGGCCCGTAGATTGGCCCCTAGGTCGGCCTTTAGTTTGAACCTTTGTTCAGTATGATGCTTCACCATCATCATGATCATTGTCGCCGTCACCGTCTTCGTCGCCATCACCATCAACATCAACATCACCACCACCAACACCATCATCGCCATCATCGACCTCATCATCATCATCGCACTTGTCATCACCATCGTCACGACAACCACGCAAGGCCTCCGAATGTAAGAGCGAGGCCGTGAGAGGCCCTAGCGTGGAGGATTTCGGCGCACCTCTCACGCGGATCGCGGGGTCAGGCGGATGGGGCCGAAGGCCTCCGAATGGGAGAGCGAGGCCGTGAGAGGCCGTAGCGGCCGTAGCCTGGGGGATTCGGCCCCCCCTCGCGCGCGGATCGCGAGGTCAGGCGGATGGGGCCGAACGCCTCCGAATGGGAGAGCGAGGCCGTGAGAGGCCGTAGCCTGGGGGATTGATTCGGCGCACCCCTCACGCGCGGATCGCGGGGTCAGGCGGATGGGGCCGAAGGCCTCCGAATGGGAGAGCGAGGCCGTGAGAGGCCGTAGCCTGGGGGATTCGGCGCACCCCTCGCGCGCGGATCGCGAGGTCAGGCGGATGGGGCCGAAGGCCTCCGAATGGGAGAGCGAGGCCGTGAGAGGCCGTAGCCTGGGGATTCGGCGCACCCCTCACGCGCGGATCGCGAGGTCAGGCGGATGGGGCCGAAGGCCTCCGAATGGGAGAGCGAGGCCGTGAGAGGCCGTAGCCTGGGGGATTCGGCGTACACCCCTCACGCGGATCGCGCGGTCGGGTCTCTGAGACGCCTTGGCCTTGCCGCACCCCTCACGCGGGTCGCGGGGTCGGGCGGATGGGGCCGAAGGCCTCAGGCGAAGAGGAGGAGGAGGAGGAGGAGGAGGAGGCCCCAGGAGAAGCAGGAGGAGGAGGAGGGCTGCGATGATGATGGTTATGATGATGATGTGTTCACCTGGCTTGTCATCAGGCCACGACGCGGGCCGCAATGCTCTCGAGCTTCAATGCCCACATATATTTCTCAACTAACGACACTGCTACCTTGTGCAACGCTGTGCCACTCGCGCATGAGAATGCTAACGTTTTCATGTGTTTGACGAAATCTTCGTCTATCCAGTTTGCAACTCGTCTGGGATTTATGTATATCGCGCGCGCCGCGAGGTGCCACATCCAGTGCAGCTTAGGCACTGCTGACCACAACATCATACCATCTGCGTCCGCAATGTGGCCCAACTCTGTGTATGCTAGCAAAAACGCATCGGTCTCTGTGGCCAAGCGCGTAGCTTCTGGAATTGGCAGAAAATCATCGCGAGCATGCAAATCCAAGATGGTGGCGATCGCATCTAGATTCATCAACCCACGTTCAACGAGGGAATCGCGCCTGGAACATGTTTTGTGTTTCCGCCACACTTCGAGCAACGGAGAAATCAAATGTTTTACTTCGCCTCCTTTTCCTTTTAAGCACGGGTACGACGATAACTGTTTTTTCGGATCTACAAACGTGCTGATGCCAATTGATGAGTACTGCTCGCCATGGCTTGCTTTCTTGTACTCGCTTAGAATATCTCGCCACACAACTTTCATGTTTTCATTTGGTGAATCGCCGAGGGATGAAAACACCAGCAGCCAAAGCACGCAACCTAAATAGTATTGGCACACACCCAAATGCAACACGTGCAATTCGTCAGCCTCTATATTCTCCACTGAGAGATACTTTATCATTTTGAAAACGATGTGCATGTCATCTCCGTATTCGTGTCGCCACAGGTGCCTGTCGCGAATCAGTTTTTTCCAAGGTGCATCTGGTGCAAAATTGGTTGGCCAATAAGCTGGATTTGCTGTCGCTTTGGTACACTGGCAATAATCACAGAAATCGTCCGCTGCATGATTTCTCATCTTCAAATCCTTACCGTACCACACTATATCACCCTTTATACTCCAGACTACACCGAAGTATGGCTCCTCTGTCGAACAGATATGGGTCCCTTTCAAAATCACATCACTTCTAGCTGTTACATCGTTGTCTTCCCAATCCCTGCTCGGCCAGGAACCCTCAAACAACGCATTCAAGCTCCAACATATGCGTTTCCACATGACGTCTGTCGTATCCGTGATACCTGGAATGCCGTGCAATTTGTTCTGCTCGAAAATGCCAGTCATGAGAATCTTGACAGCCAGAGTGTTGCCACCTGCAAGGGCAGATTGCCACGACCAGCAATCGAAAGACTTTGTCCCGCTCTTCCCAACCGCTATCACGGGGACCGCGTCCCCGTGAATCATCAAAGGCACCGCCCGACGCATCCAATTTTCACGCTCGACCATTGGATGGTGGCGGATGCGCGGGTCGCGCCTAAGAACGACTTGCCTCCAGAACGCTTCTAAGATATCCCCGAAGTTACCTTCGCGCACGCCAAACATTTTAAAGTTGAATTCGCTCCTGTCGGTCCGAAACATGTGATTGAACGTTACGTGCGGCAGCAAGCATGGGATGTTTTCTTCTTGTATCGTTGGGAGCCGTTGCCTTGGTTTCAACACGAAAATGTGAGCCTTGATTGTCACGGGCGCCGCGTAGTCTGGAAACCCCAACCACCTTTTCAACTCGCTGTTAACATTGCCTTTGTATTTCCCATTGCTGCCAAGCCCAGCTAAAGATTTCAACGATGACGGTATGTGGTCAATCGATTGCCCAGCTCTCGTGAGCATTGTGACATCACTTCTATAAGCGGACAACGCAAACTCTTGCAATTTTGTAGCAGAAATGTACCCCCAAGCCCAACGTTTGCATAAATAGAACGCGAACTCACTATCGAACTGAGTCTGCTGATGTACCTGGTTCGGGCCATCCTCGACCTCGTGACGTCGTTGCCTTTGCCGCCTGCCACCTGCCATAAAAAAAGATGTGTTGCGCTGATGAGCCAAACACGGCTACTGATGGATGCGGTGGGGAGGAAAAGGACGGTCATTGGAAGAGGACGGCCATTAGGGAAGCAGGGAAGGGTTTTTCTTTCCCCGAACAGCAGCACCGAGCAAACACATTCAGGCCTTACGACGTGCTGCAGCCTCTGCCTTCTTAGCGGAGCTGCGTCCCTTCAATTTAGGGAGCCACGCCCTGCACGGGTGGTTGATATACTTAATCTGGTAGGGCCGACTTCGCACGCACGTGGTCCGTCGGCCCATTTTGTGGACGCACCGCGTGCACGCGAACGTCGGCCCTGATTTGGAAACCACCAGTCGGGCTTTGGGCGAGGCTGCTTCACAGCTGGAGGCGTGTCTGGGGCTTCAGAGAGGTCTACCTTCTCCTTGGGGCTACCAGGATTCTTGGGGTCCACCGTGCTGTCGTCGTCGCTGATAGTGATGACCTCGTCACGGAGCCGCTTCAGAACGGCTTGCCTGCCAGAAGATCGCACGCGCACGGCCTGCTTGCCAGAAGATCGAGCATCAGGAGTGCCGTCCATGGTCGGCAGGGATAGTGGCAAGGCGCTCCCCCGCGCCATGGCCTATGCCGAAAACGCTTGTGCCAGAAGGATGAGGTGGGGGATTGTGCTTGGAGGTTGTGTTGTGGGCTTGTGCTGGGGGTTGTGCTGGGGGATTGTGCTGTGGGAGTTTGGGGGGCGTTGTGCTGGGGGTTGTGCCAGTAGGTCGTGCTTGGGGGGGAGGGGCGTCAAAGGCTGTCTTGGGGCAGCTTGAACACTGGAATTTTAGAATCTCTCCAATTGAGCACATATGTGTGGGGGGGGGGCCCGACTTTCTGTGTTAGGTCTTCCAGGGTGTCCCGTTGGTTCCTTGTTCGATTCTTCTTTTTCTATTTATTGCATGGTGAACCAGGCGCACAACGCGAGTTATACTTTCCATACGAGCACGACGACGAAGAGGGGGAAGCGACACGTGCGGCCAGCCACAAAAAAGAACCCCAGAGGGAACAACATAAGATATTTTGTTTTGGGAGGCTGGCCGCGGATGTTGGTTCCCCCCGTCCCCCCGTGGCCGTCGTCGCCGTCGCCGTGGTCGTCGTTCAACTAATGTTGCCAGGTTGTCTATATGTCTCCCTGGAGGGGCGCTTGGCTTCCCTGCCCGTAACTCTTTCTGGAGGCTGTAGGCTGCGGGCGCCCCGCTGGCACGCGTACAATGGCGCTCTCTCGTAT